AACACTCAGATCAGTTGAAGACACCCGAAACACTCAGAGCAGTTGAAGACACCAGAATCGCTCATCCCGAAACATGGGTGTTTCAGACACTCCCTTCATTTGCTATAAGTGTTTTGGGTGTCTGTGCATGAAAGTACATGGCATTAGAATCAGGTGCATAGAATTGAGTGGGTGACAAAAACGGAAACACTCAAAACACCCAAAGCGATCTGTGCACTCGGGTGTATGCTCTTTTTTTGCTGTTCGTGAGTGCGACAAACACCAGAAATGTATAAGTGTGAAAAAAGACACCCTTGACGTTCTCTGATATACATATATATTAGGTAATTAAACTATTTCCACTATTTGGGCAAACAAAGCATCATTTAAATAAACACATATAGAGCAGAAAAATGTAACATTTCACTTACTTCATATCGACCATGAGAAATAACGGAAATTCTTTGATGTGAAATGGTTACATGTTTTATATGTGTGTACTTGTTGTAACCGGTTTCCTGAATGTTTGCTAATAATAAGAAACTGCCACCATCTGCCGAGAATATTGGATGAGGAAGAATATCCAACCACTCGTCTTCTGGAGCTCTTTCAGAATGAACCTAATATATATAATTAATTTTGGTAAATGTTATGTTTTTTATCTTACTTCTAAGCAATTCCAGTTGTGCAGTTTAGAACACACAGAAATCACACTGTAATTTTGAGATCTTCCCATATAAACTACCGATACTTGAAGATTGGAATCAGATATCCAATTCGCTGAAGTAAGGTAATACTCCCTAATCAAAAAAAAGAAAAAATGTAATACATATTTGCTTATAAAGATATATACAAATTATAGTACTTACTGTTCATCAAGAGAAGCAGGTGGTTTTATTCTACACTTTTGTATAGCACTTAAATTAGTTATGTCAACAACCCACAACTGTACTTCAGGATTGACAGTGCCAGGAGTTGGAAATCTAACCGTTTTCGTCTCCGGAAAAAAATTTCCGGGAAATATACCGCTTCCTGAAAATAAAGCTCCAGAAGACAACCAGGGATATGTCATCATTCCAACATTTGTATCGTTAAATAAAGCGAAAATGAAATGTGTCCCATCGGAGGATGGCCAAATTGCCTCCGGAGACTCAAAAATTTCTTCTGCAACGGAAAATGTATATTGATATCGACAAATAGTTTTTAAATATATTTTTGATTTATAATTTTGCTAACTTAATTTTAGGTTATATACGAGTATGTAGAATATAACATAAGAGAACATAAGGAAATGGTAAAGTCGAGTGCATTTTCTTATATATAGTGATTTTTTAAGAGTTAAGGTTTTCATTCTGTCAGCACTGGTTGGTAATGGCATCCAAACGTCATCTGTCAAGGTAAGAAGTTCTCAGTATACTCTGCCATTTCATTATAGAAAGACTTACAAACGAGCACTTATTGCAAAGTGTTGAAATTTATTATCAAAATTGCTCTGTGAAAAGTATATTTAGCAATGATGGCTCATTTCTGGCTAAACAGATACGTTAATAAGCAAAACTATCGCATCTGGAGTGATGAATAGCCAAATGCCATACATGAGTTATGCGAATTAACGACCCTTTATTATTTTTTTGGGGTTAAATATAGACATACTCTGAAGACTGAGTCTATGTAGACAAGCCGAGTCCGATTAGAGCCTTACAGGATAACATAACACGCGTGATTAGTGGCGTATAGTTGTATCCCCAAGCTAAGCAAACAGCAACAGATAAATTCACAAAAACGTTTAATTACTATATTGAGTTTTTTTACACTATGTAAATAGCGTCCCACGTTAGATTTGCGACTTGCGTTCTGTTACATTTAAGTCGCCAGCCTTTTGTTTTCTTCCCTGCTCTCGCTCCCGTGATCCCACGCATCGTCCCAAAGTGAGAGAGCGATCAGCTGATCGATCCAAGCTTTCCGCGAGAAACCTTCGCTTGTCCGGTCCATCTTGGTTGTGGGGTAGAATATCTAGTATGGGAAAGTAAACAAGAAGTGTGTGCAAGAAACAAGTAAATGATATATAAGGTGGGTATGTGAGGGCGCTTAAGTTCGGATCGGCAGTGGACAAAGTTTCGACACCGAACGTTTCATTTGTCGTTGCTTGGTTTTGAGTGTCACTACCCGGACCAACGCTTCCGTCCTTGGGTGTAACTCAACCTCGCGACCCAGTAGCCATTGTGACGGCGAAAATCGGTCGTTCTTGATAATGACGTGGTGGGTTAACTGGAGGCCTTCAGCCTCACGGCACTACTTGGTCCTCTGTTGCAGATGTGCCAGCCAGTCCCGACTCCAAGCCTTCCAGAAATGGCGTACCCTTGATCGCTTGATAAGAAAGTGCCCTGTAAAGTACTTGGGTTTCGGACGTTTTTTTCTTGGCTACGTTTTGTTAAGTTTCCTTTGACTGGTTCAAATCGTTATCCAAAGAATCAGACACACTGGGTGTTTAGGTGATGGGCCATTGTGCCGCCGCTTATCTGAGCTTAAGAGCGCATCCGCGCTGAAGAGCGCATCAACGCTGAAGAGGGCATCCGCGCTGAAGAGCACATCCGCCCTCGCCCCTCTTTGCACAATCTTGCACTCTCTCTCTCTCGGGTCCAACAGCAGCGGTCGAACGTCGGCGATCGTCCGCTCTGGCGGTAGCGGCCAGCTAGGTTCAGTTAGTACCATGTATGCAGCAGAATAAAGCTGACGGCTCTATTCCACGACGCCCCAGATTTCTTCTTTTTACAACCAAGTGGAATCTTTTTGCGGCAACATCGCCGCCCCACATTTGGTCCTTCGAGCCGGATATTCTGGATATTTTTTCTACCAGCAGTTCCCGGCAGTGTTCCGACAAAAGATAAGTACGACAATTTTCCGTTTCCGTCTCTCTGCCGGTCTTCAGCAGTGATCCGAACATTAAATTTCGTTCACACTGCTGCAAGATTTTTTCATTCCGTGTCAACTCCAAGTCCGAGTTTTCCGACACAACGGCAGTTTGACATTTTCTACTCTTCTTCGTCTTCAAATTCTGCAAATTTTTCTATCCGTCTCCGTTCTGTGTGCTTCGCCATATTCCTCGCCGTTTTCAGACTCTCCGTTATTTGCGATTCTGCTATTCGCTTGCCAACGGTCGAGGCATATGTGCTTCCAATATACATACATACAAACATACAAATTTTTTGGTGTAAGTAATCCGCGAAAAATTGACCAAGTGAACAGTGAAATTGTGTGGTGACAAAAAGATTTCGTTAATATTGGCCAGCCGGTGTGAATTAGTTCCGAAAATTTCCAAATTCACCGAACAGTCCGCCGCTGGCGTAATATTTTTTTCCCAATCAGTGTCATTTCTTACACCACATAGCTTTCTGTTCCCCCAGTTATACAGTCCACTTATAAGCCATTCCAAGGGCAAAGAGTGACGTATCCATCAATACAATCCCCGGTCCTTCACAGAGGCAGACTCGCTCCGTTGTGAAAATGGCTCA